GCAGCGGCACCCTCGTATCACCGGATGGTGCCGAACCGGTGCCGAATGGCACCGGGGCTATCCCAAAACCGGCCCCCCAGCCCCATTGAGGGACGCTCGGTCCCATAAGATGGGATTTAGGGCGTTGGAGAGGGATGACGGCACCGTGCCGGTGATGCGCTGGTGGCACCGTGCCGCTCACCGCAGGTGAAGGAGCTCGGCGCCGCCGTCTACAACTGCAGCTGCTTGGCCAAAGATTTAGGCAAAATTTTTGAAGCTTATTGGGCTCTCGGTGTTCCCGGTGCTTCCATCCCGGTACCATGGCCAGCAAGTTATTCCACCGCCTTTAACATGGAGACGCCGTTGGAGTTGAAGCTCAACGGCACCGATGCCGCCGTCTACTTCTCGGTACGTCCCCGATCCACTGTGGTTGGGTTTCCTGGTACCGAGGATTGGCTGTGCCAGTGCTTGATCCGTCTCCGATGATTCCGGCAGAGCTCCCCACCGGCTCTCTGTGCCTCTGGTCGGACCCAGGATCTTGACGCCCTCCTCAACATCATCGACACCGCCGAGGACTTCGTGGACATCGCGGTGATGAGCTACCTACCCACCACCGAATTCTCCCACCCCGAAAGGTGCGTGTGGTCCTGTGCCAACCCCCACTTGCCGGCACCGGTAATGCCTAACCGCTTTCCCTCCCCAGATTTTGGCCGGCAATCGATAACCAGCTACGGAAAGCCGTCTTTGAACGCCGGGTCAAGGTTCGGTTGTTGGCGGGTTGTTGGCGGCACAGCCGCGTGACCATGTCCCCCTTCCTCAAATCCCTCGCCGCCGTCGCCGATAATCAGACCCGCTACAGCGTGGAGGTGGTGGGTATCACGGCGCGACCGCGGCGTGCCGGCGGGCGATGTTTCGCTGGGTGACGGTCTCCTCGCTCTCTGCAGCGGCTCTTCATGGTGCCGGCGAGCGCGGCGCAAGCCCAGATCCCCTACGCCCGGGTGAACCATAACAAGTACATGGTGACGGAGAAGGCGGCGTATATCGGTGAGC